CACTCTTTCCTCCCCATCTCTCCCTCCTCCCTCTCACCCACCATCACCTCCATGAAGTCCACCACCTGCTGCCTCGACCCCCTCCCCACCAACTTACTGGTCACACAGCTCTCCCTCCTCTGCCCACTACTGGCTGACATTATCAACCAGTCCCTCTTCTCCGGATCAGTCCCTGCCTCCCTCAAAACTGCTGTCATCACCCCCCTCCTGAAAAAACCCTCCCAAGATCCCTCAAACCCTGGCCATTACCACCCCATTTCTAACCTGTCCTTCCTCGCAAAAGTTCTAGAACGAGTTATTGCCAACCAACTCCTCACACACCTCTCCTCCCACTCCCTCTTCGAACCCCTCCAGTCTGGTTTCCGCCCACAGTACAGAGTGAAAGTGAAAGTCACAAACGACATCCTCTCTATCTGTGACCAGGGATCCCTCTGCCTCCTTGTCCTCCTGGATCTCTCTGCTGTGTTCGACACAGTCGATCACGCCGTCCTCCTCCGCCGCCTTTCCTCCATCATCCACTTCAGTGGGACTGCACTCGCCTGGTTCGAGTCCACCTCACAAACCGCCAGTACATCTGCATAAACGGCTTCTCCTCACGCTCTCACCCGGTAACCTGCGGGGTACCCCAAGGATCCATCCTTGGCCCCCTCCTCTTTCTGATCTATATGCTCCCTCTTGGGGATGTCATCCGCAGACATGGGGTACATTTCCACATGTATGCAGATGACACCCAGCTCCACTTTTCCACCTCTCTTTGTGACCCCCAGTCCCCTGATGTTCTGTCAGCCTGCCTGTCAGATCTCAGGGGCTGGATGAGCGCAAACTTCCTTCAGCTGAACATTGACAAGACAGAAGCCATACTCTTCGGCTCTCGTCAACGTCTAAAATCTCACGGTTCTTACCTCCTTCACCAACCCGACCTCCCCCTAAAACTCTCCGAACCCGTATGCAACCTAGGTGTCTTGTTCGACCCCCAATTATCCTTCCTCCCCCACATCCGGTCCCTCACCAGCACCGCTTTCTTCCACCTCCGACCCATCGCCCGTCTCCGCCAATACCTCGCCCCAAAAGCCGCTTAAACCCTGGTCCATGCCTTTGTCACCTCTCGGCTGGACTATAACGCCCTCCTCGCCGGTCTCCCATCCACTACCATCCATAAAATCCAAATTATTCAGAACTCTGCCGCCCGCATTCTCACCCGCACAAAACTCCTCTCCCCGATCACCCGAGTCCTTGCCAGACTGCACTGGCTGCCTTTCCCAGAGAAGATAGATTTCAAGATCCTCACCCTCGTATTCAAGTCCCTGCACTCCTCTACACCCCACTACCTCTCAGACCTCCTCTCTCCTCAGCACAGTATCTGTTGCCTTCGTTCCTCCGGGTCTGGCCTCCTCCTTGTCCCCCGAATCCTCCGCTCCACCCTCGGCGGCCGTGCCTTCAGCCACTATGCCCCGAGGCTCTGGAACTGCCTTCCTCACTCCCTTCGTCTCGCTCCCTCCCTTCCCATTTTCAGGTCTCTGCTGAAGACCTTTCTTTTCGACCGCGCCTTTAGTCACCTTCCCACCCCTCCTCCTGGCTCGGCCCCGGGATCCATTACTGTAAAGTGTTCTGAGACACCGTCTGGCGTGGAGGGTACTATATAAATCCAAGTTGTTGTTGAAGCTCTCCCAACAATGCTCTGTGGCAGTGAGTAAAGCAAACCAGATGTTGGGATATATCAAAAGATCAATAGCAAGCCGAAATAGTGGGATAATCCTGCCACTGTATAAATCATTGGTGAGATCATACTTGGAGTACTGTGTTCAGTTCTGGTCGCCACAGTACAAAAAGGATATTGGAGAAATTGAGAAGATACAGAATAATAATAATGATACTTGCATTTGATATAGAAGAGAGCAACCAAAATAATTGAGGGAATGGAAGGACTGGACTATGAGGAGGAACTAAGTAAATTGTGCATGTTCATGCTAGAAAAAAAGTTTGAGAGGCGACATGATTGCTGTCTTTAAGATTCTGAAGGGCCAAGACAATATAGACCATGACAGGCATTTTTTGTGTTCTTAAGTTCTATAATCCTTGCTTAATCTTACCTTATAGCTGGAGTTCCTAAATCAGTATGTGAACAAACGTTTTATTCTACCCTCAATCTTTGTTATCTTATATGTTTAAAATCCATAAAACATCATGAAGTAAACAACCTATGTTCCCAGGATATCCCCTTACCTCTCTGTACTACTGAGTGTAAGGTAATGCATAAGCCTATAGCCTCTTTGTTTTTATGCTCTCTCTCTCTTTGCTGTGGATTATTCTCCTCATCAATAGATCATAATAAAAAAACATATTATATAAACAGAGAAAACATACCCATTTAAAATGGCACAGTTAATGGTGCGTGTAATGGACACAAATCCAAATTGTTGTTGACACGGATCTCAGTCTGTAAAGTGGCTATAACATGAATCCGTGCTGTGAGCTTTTGTCTCAGTCAGGCAGCTCCAATTGAAAGTCCTTTCAAATACAGCTTTGGGCTGATTTTTGTGCTCCTGGACATAACTTTTGCCTGTCACTTGATCAACTTCACACCTGTACCATCAATAGACAATAGGCATTCTACTTCTGCACTAACGTGTACCTTAAAACCGAGTAATAGGCTGAGAAACCAGTTGGCTGTCATTCAGAAAGCACTATCTCTCTCTTCCTCAAACCTGTTGGGAATGGTGTAATACAATGTGAGATTTCTACAATGTGTCACACAGAGGATCTGTCCTTGTTTTGACAAGATTAGTTGGCTTGTGCATCATTTATATATTTCATCAAGACCATTTCAGGCAAAGAGGATCACTTAGACGCATTAGCATGATTGTTGCATCCAAAAAACAATGTCTACAGTAAAACTGAATAGCTTTTAAAGCTAGACTTTTGTCTCCAGACTGATCTGTTACTTTTAGCTTTCTGAAGAATTTCTGACACTCATACTTTTTCGGTTAATTCAGCCTACAGTGAAACTGGATAAACCTCTGTAATTTTCAGCAAAATAAAAGTGGAAAATTTGGAAGGATTTCAGCATCTTATCATGCATAACCGACAGGAACATGAACCATTTGCATTCTCCAGTATTATCAAATCTGACTATATGGATGCAGAAGACCATCTTTTTCTTCGACCGTGCCAACCTCGTCCTCTTCCCTTGTATCTTTGTGAAGAGCTTCAAAATGTTATCCTGCATGAAGGGCGTATTTAAATACAAGTTGTTGTTCGACTGAAAATTGAATGGATTTATTTTACTTTGAGCCTCTTTCTCTTTTCTATACACCTAACCCCCGAATTCATATTGGAAGGACGTCCCAAAGCACTTCACGCTATTGGCTGCACATCTAATCGGGGGGTGGGGGGGAGCTGTAGAGATTGAGGAGGGGAAAGATGAGTGAACGTGTAGTCAAAGAGTCTTTCAGAACAGCTTGTAAACTTAGTGGAGTCTAAATGAGCAATTCTCAATCGGATTCCTTGATAGTAACTTGTAGTCACAAGTGGGGACTTCTGGTAAGTGAAAGTACATACAGAATTGACTCATGTTAGAGCAGAGCTCCTGCTCGTCATCCTATTGTACCTCCAACACCAAAATCCCCTAAATGTCCCTTGGAGCCGTTTAAGAAATTGCGTGACAAAATACCACAATTTGTTTCTGTAAACTCTTGATTTTGTGGCAATGTCCATACTTAAATAAAATGGAATATCCTTTGTTCAGATTCACTGATAGATAAACAATCGTAAACTACTGCTGCATGGGATTCTTTGGGACTGCTTTGGTTAACACTTTTCATATCTTCAAATTAGATTTTTTTCAAATTTCTTGTTTGAAAGAGATTTTGTTTTGTGTGCAATTTCAAAATTATAATCTGCAAAAGGTAAACATTAAAGATGGGCAGGTGTAAACACCTGGATTTAAATCAGTGCCTGAAATACACATCTGTTCTCCTGCTCTAGTTGCAGAGTCGATCACAGTTAACAATGTTTGCCTATAGCTTGAGGCAGAATTGATGCCTCGAATATCTTGCTTCCTTTGCAAGCTTTCTTCTGTTCAGTTGGATATCAGAAGTCCTAGAAAAATCTGATTTACATTGTATTAATGCTTTTAGAATGATAATGTTTACGAAACCACATACTGCAACAAAATGAGGCTGGAAAATATTTTCAACTTGTGGTAAAATTGAATGCGGAAAAAATGAATTATGCAAATTTAAGAAGTTACAACAGTTCTAATTCTGCATCAAAAGTACTAGGATACTGCTCTGTCATATCAAATATTGATCATGAGATAATGAAATCTTACAGCATAGAAACAGGCCATTTAGCCTATTAATTCTGCGCCGATGGTTTTCTCGTAATGAGCCACCTAATCTAATCCCACTCTCCTGTTCCTTTTTAAAACTGCTGCTGACTCTTTTATATTCCTTTTCTTTCTACTAAAATATATTGAATCTGCTTCAAATATCTCCTGTATATTTTTTTATCATAAATATGTACCCACATTATTGACTCAACATCTGGTGGAAAAAATATACAGGTATTACTATTTTCCTATCAAAACCCTTTCTAATTTTTAATGAGGCTTCAGCCTGACTCAATTGGTGCAATCTGGCAGCTGAGTCAGAAGTTTGGCGGCTCAAGCCCCACATTGGGATTTTGACCTCATATTCGACTCTAGGCTGACACTTCAGTACAATTATTATTATAATGCTGGAAAAAATGCTTTTTGAGGGTGCCATCTTTCGAAAGAGATATCAAACTTAAGTCCGGTTTGCCTGTTCAGATGGACCTTAAGGATTCCATGATGCTATTTGAAAAGAGAAAAAAATGGGCATTTACCTCCTGGCTATTTGTGGTATATTGCTGTGCACAAGTTAGTTGCATTTGTATCCTACTAGATATTGGACCGCAACTTGTGGTTCATATTCTCTATAATGATTTAATTTTCTACTTTTTTTATTTAATTCTTGCAGGAAGATGAAAACATAGAGGAAGCAGCACGATTTTTGGTGGGAAATATTCTTGCCAGTGACCACCTACCTACAACTGAGGACACAGATATAGACAAACTTAAGCTGGAGGAGGAGACCATGAGGGCTGAAAGCAAATCTCAGTGCTGTTAATGCAGTATTCTGCCTCACAGCCTTTCATCAGAAGCTGCCTGGATAACATCAGCAAGAGAGGACCTTTCCTACACTGTCAGTAACTGACTGCCAAAACAAAACCACTGAAAGGTCTTCAGACAACTAATATTTAAAAATATTTTTTCTATTGTTTTTACTTCTCATTGAATTATAAAAATAATCCTATAAATGTTTTTATTATTAAATGTTCTGCAATCTATTGAAGAATGTATCTTTCAATTTTGTACACAAGTCAAATTTCTATCCACAGTGTAACTTTTATCCATTAAACTTGATTACAAAGATCTGTTGCTGCTGAGTTAGGGTGACAACATGAAGAACAGAACCGTACTTTTGTTTTAATCTTACTACACCATTGAAACTCAAATGCCCTAGCAGAGCTCCACATCATTCATTGTTGTTTGGTTGAGTTTGTGTGCAAGAGTTAGCCAGTTTGCTTGATGATTGGAAATGGCTATAAAATTCATCTACAATATGCCGAGTCACTACACTTGACAGTATATCCTGTGAAGCGCTTTGAGATAGCTTTCTGGTGTGAAAGGCACTATATTATTAAATGCAAGGATTATTATAATTATTAAATATTTGTGATGTGGGTGGTGAAGGTTTGCAATGTACACAAGGGGATGTCTTCTGTGCAATACTCTCCTATGCCCTTCACCTGCCTGAAGACTGTATGGGTCCTTATACTGTAGTTGCTAGGGGTCCAAAGTAAGGCCACTTCTTCCTAGTCCCTAGCCAGAGAGTGAAAGGAGTGGAGGTATGGCCATTTGTGCTCACTGAGGAGGAAAGATGAGAAAAGGCGAATTGATATATTGTCTAAATATCACAAGTCATCTACTTCACTCTGCCTGGTTGAAGGCTTTGTTTATGCCCAGTTTACTAGGTTCATAGAAGCTGGTTTGTTGAGGAAGGTAGTAATGTGCTTCCCACATTTGTCTTCCTCAGTCCCTTCCTGATCATTTCATTTTCTCCCAGTGGATCAGCTGCATTGTGGATTGCTGACACCAAATTTATGTCTAGGGCATGCATTGGATCACAATGGAGAGGAGAGACACTGATTCATAGATCTTGCTTTCATTGACTGGGAGAGGTCTGTTGTTTTGAGGTATTTTACTTATGTCATTGGGTGCAGCATTATACCTCAATAGTTTGTTGCTTCTGGTGTATTCTGAGTACTGTAAATAAAGTTGCAGCTGGATGGAATTCTTTTAAAATGGAATGCTTTTGTCTCTCTTGATTATGAAATATTGAATGGCTTTCTCTTAAAATTGTAACCTGGATTATGCAGATGAGATTGCTGGGTGCTATATTTTGGAGTATTAGGTTTCATTTGTCTATTAATTGAAGTAAAGTACCAAAGTATGTTCAAAATAAATCCTTGCTTTGAAAAGTGACTTAATATTCCCATAAATGAAGCATTGTTTTCCCTTTGCTGCGTCTTGCATGATTATCTTGTTGCCAACTAAGTGTCAGTTGGTAGCACTTAACCCTCTGGGTCAAACAATTATGGGTTCAAGCCTCAAATTGTCCAAGCTGACACTAGTATTGATCTTACTACACCATTGAAATTCGAATTTGGATTGATGGAGGTGTGACGTTCACAGGAATTTCAAACTGAGGCCCGTCTATGCCTGTTCAATTGGACATTAAAGAGCCCATGACACTATTCAAAAAAGGAAGGATGTTTCTCACAGGGTCCTGGCCAGCAATCCTCCAGTTAAATTGATCATTCACCTTCTGGCTGTTTGAGTTATAATAGATGCCTCGTTTGGCTACAAAGACCTTTCTCTTCGACTGTGCCTTCAGCTCCCCTCTCGACTCTCTACTCGCTCCCTCTCTTCCCTCCCCTCACAATGACCATTTCTTTCATCCTAAGGAATCAGTGCAGAGAAATCATTTTTTTTAAAAAAGTACAAATGATGGGTATGTCTAAGATTTATTACGATCTCCAAAATAAGGGGCAGGGGTTATTCCCACTCAACTCCTGATACCCCTTTAGGCAAATGTCCTAAAGAAGTTTAGGGCAAAAATACTGAAAACTCCCTGCCTCAATCCCTCCACCTCAACCCCTCTTCACCTATTTTTAAATCTCATCTGAAAATTTAGTCACTGTGCTTCACTGCATATCCTGTGAGGCACTTTGGGATGTCTTCCCAAGGAGCTATACCAAATGTAAGGATTATTCTTGCTTTGTTGACTACACCTACAGTCACTTTCCCCTTCCTTGCTTGACATCCAATCCCGCCACAGTACAGTGCTCCAAGACGCAAAGTGCACTGTATTTTGTTTCACCCACAAAATATGCAGTCAATTCACTTTGGAGTACAGTATATTATGTGAAACGCTTTGGGACGTCACGAAGTGATAAGGCGCTATATCAAACGCAAGGATTATATTATAAATACAAGTTGTTGTCGTTCTCCTTCCTGGACAAGCCAAAGACACTTGAAAGCCTACATCTGCAACCTCTTTCAACCAGCCGCTCCCTTAGCTCAGCGGGCAGCGGGGGGGGGGGGGCAAGCTCTCAGCCATTCTGTCCCTGCGCTCTGGAGCTCCAGCCCGGAGCGCACCCCCACCCCACCCCACCCCCCCGACTCGCTCCCTCCGCTCATTCAAGGCCCGTCTCAGAACATCACCACCAGGCAATGCGCTTTCAGTCATCTTTCTCCTTGACTCCCACCCACCCCCTGGGCACGCACCCACCCACCCACCGAGCACCGTTTGACCTCCTCCTGATGCTACAGAAATGAACATTGCGAAACAGCGGTGATGGGCTGGTTGCCAGGTGACAGCGACGAGGGCGGGGCGGCTGGTTGCCTGGCGACAGCGACGAGGGCGGGGCGGCTGTTTGCCTGGTGACGTCGCCGGGCGGGGCGGAGGAGAATGGTTGCCTGGGCGACGGCGACGCGTGCGCGTGCCGTCACGTTCGGTTGCCTGGTGACCAGTCGCCAGCGCTGAGGTCGTCGATGGTAGCAATGTCGAAACAAGGGAAAAACAAGGGGCACAAGGCAAACCTGCCTCTCGCACACCTGTACCAGAAAGAGTAAGTGGCCGCGAAGAGTAACCCGCCGGCGAGAGAGGAAGAGAAACGGACTCCGCTTGGGTTGAAAAGCGCGTCTTCGGCTGAAAAATGGCTTCCTGCCCGGAGGACTAAAGGAAGCCCCGGAATGTGTGTGTGTGGGAGAGGAGGCAGGACGAGGGGACTCGAGCAGATAGATAGCTCCATGCTGGCAGGCCCAGGCAGGCAGCCAGGCAGGCAGGCCCAGCCAGCCAGGCGTCTCTTGCCGCCATTGTATCGTTGTAGTCGGAGTTTGCTGGCAGTGTTTTTGGGGGTGAAATTGTTTGCAGTGGAAGGAAGGGTGTAGACAGCTCAGCCCGGACACCAGGGGCTAAATGACCTTCAGTGTTGTTTATTTCTATGATTGTTTGGCAAATGTCGAAGGGATTGAGTGGACTCTTCTCCATAACCTTCTAACGTGACACCTGTATCATTTCTTCTCCCCCCCCCTTCCCCCACGGTTTCCGATTTCATTCTCATCTACAACAGCAACTTGCATTTATATAGCGGCCTCCACCGCAGGGAAGCGTCTCGGAGCGCTTAACAGTGGCGGAGCCAGACTCCAAGCCGGAGGTGGGGGAAGGGTGGAGGTGGCCGTAAGCACGGCAAAGAGGAAAGTTTTCAGGCAGGACTTGAAAGAGGGGAGAGAGGGGCCAAGGCAGAGAGATTGAGGGAGAGTGTTCCAGAGTTTGGGGGCGTAGTAGTGGCTGAAAGCACGATCTCCAATGGCGGGGCGCGCAATCCATTATGGTTTATGGGAAACTGCTACAATTGGCTGTTGTGTTTCACCCACAAAATACACTAAGTCACTGCACTTTACAGTATTATGACGTGCTTTGAGACGCCTCAACAATGTCATAAGGCGCTATATCAAATGCAAGTAGTATTATTATTCTCCACTTGCCCTCGCTCGTGAATTCTTCTTCACGGTTCTATCATTGATCTACTTTTCCTCATCTAAATGGTGTCACACACAGCAGGAATGGGGCCCTTCTATATGTTCTTCCTCAACTCCATCCTCACCTCCATATATACAAAGATGACACCCAACTCTACGTTTCCACCTCCACCCTTGACTCAAGGATCACTGATGTGCTGCCAAACTGCCTGCCAAACATCAAATACTAGATGAGGATCAATTTCTTTCAATTTAATGTTGACAAAACAATCTCACAGGTTCTTCCTCTATCTCTGACTATATTAATTTATTCAGTTGCTCATTTAAACCCATGGAGTCAGTGGCCAATCTGTTTTCTTTTTATCCTCAGTTCTCCTTCAAGCCTTTCATCTGGGCCTTGATTTAGTTGATGACACCTTGGCTGCATTCATCCCTACATCACCCCCAATCCAGTCGAAACTCTCATCTGTGCTTTTGTCACCTTTTCTCTTGCTGGGTTCCCAGCTCAAACCTCAACAAATTGCAGATTATCAAGAAATCTGCAGCCTGTATACTTTCCCATACCAAGCTTGATGACCCACTGATTATTCTGACATTGTGACTGATATAGCGCCTTATGACATTGTTGACTTTGGCATGATTCGTTGGTTTCTTATCCCCTAGGTGAATTATTCTGACATTGTGACTATGTTCTTGTCCCACCCTTGCTCTGTAATCTCCAGTCTAACTCCCTCACCCATTCCCTCTGCTCTGATACTTAAGCCACTCTATGTCCCCTCTGCTCACCATTGGTAGGTGAGCTTTCAGCTACTTTGCTTGCTCTCTGGAATCTCTCCCTAAATCTTTTTGTCTCGCACAACCTCTCCAGTTTCAAAAACTACCTTTTTGACTATGACTTTGATCACATTCTCCTATTTCACACCATGTCATTCCATCTCTGCTTTGAGACATTTTTCTACATGAAATATGTAAAAGAAGTGCAAGTTGTTATTCATATTGTACTGTGTGCTGGAGGTGGTATCGGTGCATACAATGTAATGATTTCTCTACCACTGGGGCTGCAACACGATATATGGCCAGGTTAGTTTAGTGCTGAGGCAAAGTTAAAGAATATTCTGGATTTTTTTCTCCATTAACCTGGGGTTTCAGGTTGTCCCTCTGCAATATTATTCCTTGGACAGGAAAAGAGCCGGGGCAAAGTCTGAAATAGTTTAGGCATTACACGGTGCACACATTTTCACATATGTAGTGATCAAGTGGGCGCTGACCATTCTAAATCTAGACAGAACAAGTCCAGTTTCAGGAATACAATAGAATTTTGTGGGAAAATCAGCTCCGCACACATGTGCATTCACAGTGTAAGCAAAGTACAAGAAAAGGCCAACTCTTTCCTTGCATTCATTCTTGCCCCCCCATCAGAAACTCAATTCCTCATTAATAGGAGAATTAGCAGGTTGATATATCACTGTTGGGAGACATTCCTTCTGGTTACTGTTGCCTCCAGCTGCAACTTATTATGTTAGTTTATACTGTACACAGATAAAATATAAAATTGACCGATTTAATGTGAACAAAAATCAGTCCTACTAAATTATGTAAACAGTAATTTGAAAACTGTGTCAAAACCAAGTTGTTGCAAAGTCTTAAAGTTGGTTTCAAGTTTTGTATTCAGGATGTCAAGTTGGTTGTAATGTAAGCCATATTATTATACGTATGAGAAGGGTTCTTCCATTGCCGATGCTATAGTATATAATGTATGAAAGCTGTTAAGGGGAAACTTCTGTAAAGTGTTTTTTGCATAACTGTGAGGCTGCTGGGTATAAAATTGGAATCAAAATTTGGCTGTGTTTTCAAATTGTAAAACATGTGTTGAAATGGTCAGTGGTGGCCAATTTGTACCAATTTGTACCAATTTGGTACAAGGTTGGAAGTTAGGAACAGATAGAGCAGAATTTTTAAATGGATGATTTTCATATTGATCTTTACTAGCAATGTAAGTAATGTCTAGACCAGCAGTGAAATTTCCAGGTACTAAACAGCATTGAAATATGAATAAGGTTAGATACTCTTATAGTAAAGGATAAATAAAATACCTTATTGATATAACAATGTACCCAAAAGTAGTAGGGAACATTTTAGCTGACATTTTGATGAGTTTGCTAAATGTTGGAAAAATTGCAGAGCATGGAAAGAGCTAAACAATTCTCATTAGTATCAAAAGCCAAATGTGCTAAAAGTTAACATAAATTAAAGGAAGGGTACAGAGGGAGAGGAGAGAATAAAAGGCAGAAACCAATTGTTTCTGTATTAGGCATTGGTACACACACTGTCTAGAATATTGTGTGGAGTTTTGGTCTAATTATTGGAAACGTTGTTATCCTTGAATGGTTACAGAGGTGAGCAATCAGGATGATTCTGAGCGTTCTGAGACCTACCCTGCGTGGAAGGCGCTATATAAGTGCAAGTTGTTGTTTTTGATTCTGTCTATCAGGAATCATAAGTTATGAGTGAGCTGGTTCTTTTGGAAAAGAATAGACTTTGAGGTGACCTGATTGAAGTTTTCAAATTATGACAGGGTTTGGCAAAGCTGATCCAGGCAAATTGTTCACCCGAAGGACCCAAAGACACTGAATATTAAAATGTCGAAGTTAGGAAAAAAAAGGTAAGTCAGCCAGAACATTTTTATGAAAAGGTTAATACAGTTGTGAAACAAAGTACTAGAGAAGGTACTGCTGTAGTTATTGTGCATATCAGAATGAGAAATGATAATGCTGAGGAACAGAATGTATTCTCATTTATTAGCACTATTAAACATTCCCAACATAGGTATTGCTCTCTGCATTCCTGCAGTGCTTTTTTTGTTGTGCTGGAAACAACCTGAAGCTTAATTTATACTACTTACTTTTAACCACATCCAGCAATGTTGAAGAAACTTAATACCCAATATTGAGTTCTCCACACCTGCAACGAGAGTTCTTTCATAACATTGAAAAAATGGTCCCTTAAAAGATCTTGGATGATCTGTATGTTCACTCAATATCTTTCCAAGAAAAAGAACTTGAATTATTCAAGCCTTGTCACGTCAAAATGACTCAAAGTGCTTCACAGGAACTGCTGTTCAGTGTCCTGACTTTTTTTGTAACCAGAAACTATTTTTGAGCAAAGTCGTAATCTACTCACATCCACTACATTTATACTGGAGCAGCATGAATTGGAGTGCTGCCAAAACTGCTTCTGCATGGTGATTTAAGTACTGGTGTGATTTTGTTCTCAATCCCAATTTATGTTAATACGTAAATAAGATCTGCACTCAGCACTTTATGATGTCAAAATTTCAAAGGTCATTACAGTACACAAATATTATTTTGTAGACAAATAAGGCAGCGATAACTTACAAACAGCTGCTTTATCTGTCTTATTACAAATTTTGATCAGGGTGGAATATTGTTCAAAGGAATGCGAGAACCTCAGTACTTTGGGATCTACCATTGGATCTTTAATCTGAAAACTCAGATGAGACCTATGTTTAATCTAATCTAATCTAAAAGCTAATCTGGATACCATCTCCTTCAGTTAGCGATATACTGGGATATGTGAGCCTATATCATGAGCTCATCGCTCATGTGAAAGACGAACACAGAAAATAGAGACCTATCAATTGAACCAAAATGAAGTATGTTAATTTACCATGAAAAATGCAGTAGAAACACAGTAGTATCAATTACCTCAGATTGAGCACCTGCAACTGCATCAGTGTGAATCTTATCACCCACAATATTAGTAAACTGTTAAGCATTAGTAAGTGAGATTGTTCTCTATTTGTTGAATTTTAGTTTTGTCTTGTGGATTTGTGCCTATAGGTACTGAGATGAGGCTGCCTAAAATAATTTTATGTAGTACGCTTGTGAACACCAGAGAAAAGATTTTCTTTCCATCAACCTCAGTTACAATCAAACCTTGACCCCAGGAAGATGGGACAGTGTGCAAACACCCAGTGAATTCCTAAATGTAGGCAAATAGCATTAATGTTTAATTATTGTAACTATTTATTACTTTCATCCAATTAAAAATAACAAGACAGTTTATT